GGGAGGGTTTGAAATTGGAAGAACGAATAAGAAAAATGCAAGAGTGGAAGAAGACAACACGGGGGGAAAGTATATAAAGACAATTATTCTGTCGCTTACAACCGACACCGGATTTTAAAATATTTAAAAAAACTAAAATCTATGTCGCTAAGAACCGACGCAAGCTTTAAAATATTTAAAAAAATAAGGACAAGTTTGCGTCGGTTAAAATCGACGTGTCCCTGACAGTCTTGATAGTCGCAGCATGCGGCCTCGAAATAGGCCAAGTTTGCGTCGGTTTAAACTGACGTGAGCCTGATGTGGCGTCGAAATAAGGAAGCTTTTGCAACCCTGATTGAAAAGCTCTCCTACTTTATGTCACTTAAAAGCGACACCAGTATTTAAAAATATTAAAATGTATGTTTACGTCGGTTTAAAAACGACACTATTATTTAAAAATATTAAAATGTATGTTTACGTCGATTTAAAAGCGACACCAGTATTTAAAAATATTAAAATGTATGTTTACGTCGGATTAAAAGCGACGCCATTATTTAAAAATATTAAAATGTACGTTTAAGTCGGTTTAAAAGCGACACTAGTACTTTATGACGCTTATAAGCGACAGTAAATCCGACGTCATGTTCAGTTAGTGTCGCAACTGTCTTATTCGCCACTATATTAAATTAAATCGACACCATCTACTGACACTATAAGACCATTTTGTAGTAGTGTACATGTGTGTCCTATCTCTATTGGAGACGATTCAAATAATAGTATAAAATATGTGGCAAGAGAATCCTATTTCTATTATAGACGATATAAATAATGTCATAAAATATGTGATAAGACTAACATTTTTGTTACTTGGATCCCTAAATATCTAAACCAATATGATTGAATCGGATGACGACCTACATGATTGGATTGGATTTGATGACTTTATTAGTGAGAATCCAGTCCAATCCAATAGTTTGTTTTATGCTTTTATCCTTTGTAGGTATTTGGTATAACTCTCAAATCTCAATATTTTCTATGAATCATTCTTTTAAAAATAGGAAAATTGTTAGGAGTAATATTGGAAAAAAAAAAAACATGTACTTATAAAGATTGGAATTATTTTTTATATTGTCAAATGGATAATATTAGAGATATTAAAATTTTAAATTAAATTTGCAAACTAAATTATGTGTTACCAATAAGAAATGTAATGTAGTCAACACTTAAGTAATAATTGAATCATCAATGACCATATCATTTTGTTTACGAAATTTAGTCTTCCTAACATTATCCTTATCAAATTAGTTTAATAACAGAAACTTCAACTTCCTTTGAAAATGAGATCTCTAATTTTAAAAATGGTATCGCATCCACACACCCATTTTTACTTCTCACATATCTCTCAATTTTCGACCGTCGAATCGAATGAATTGAAAAATATCAATAATAAAAACTTAATAAGAGTGTGAAAGATAAAAATAGATGAGTGAATAATACGTTTCTTTGAAAAAAAAAGTTTGAGTCACTGTTTTAGCTCCATAAATTAAAACAAGGGGATCTCCTCTCCTCAAATGGATTTTATAAAGGAAAACCGTGTGCTTTTGCTTGGTCCTACCCAACCTAATCTTGTTTCCTCTATCAGTGAGTGTGACCAGCTAGTAAAAACCATTGGCTTAATTCCCATGGTTTTCCCCTTTCCCACATTTTATAGGCTTCCACTTTCCTCCTACATTCTTGAACTTTAGTTGAACTGTCACTCCCTTCATATAAAAAGCAACGCCCGCTCAACGGTTTCTTCATCAAATCAAAATTCAGACACATCAACCAAACATCAGTTTTATTTACTTCCAATTTTCCATCAAGATTATTGTGTTAAAAATATATACAGACAGTATGACTAGTTCATCAGTTGCAGCAAGGAGAGGTTGGGTAGTGGCAGCAAGTGTTGGGAGTTGTGGAGGCCTTGAAAGACCAAGGGATCTGCAGGTGGAATTACACCATGAGATTACTGCAGCAGCATGCCAAGAACCAACTTGGGTCGTTTTCTCAGGCCAACAAGTTCTCTTCCTCATCTTCTGTTTTGGTCTCAAGTTTTAGACAAGATAAGGTAAAGCAGTCTGAAGAATCTCTGAGGAAAGTCATGTACCTCAGCTGCTGGGGTCCCAATTGATCATTCATTCGGCCACTCTTCAATTTGTAGTTAAGCAAGAACTCGCAGGCCATTTGATCGAACAAGTTGTAGACCGTAGCCTGAAGGAATTGTAACTTTTCACAACAAAATGTTAAATCTAGATCTTTGAGATCTCTGTAATTAATGTATTTACAAATTAATATATGAGAACTAATTTGTGATGCGATCAACATTAACTTAGCCCCTTTTTTTCTCTCTTTGGATTACATATATTCCTTTCCCTTCCAATTTCATTGGTGAACCAAAGTATTTTAATCGACATAGCAGTCAACAAGTCCCCGTCCACCAAATTAGCCATAGATTCAATTAGTTTCTTCTCTTAAATGAGGATATAACTTCTGTGTTGAATAACTAGTATGTATCGATATGTTAGCTCTTGGATTGTGGGGCAACAGTTGGAGTTGTGGAAGCCCTGAAAGACCAAGGGGTATGCAGGTGGAACGACTCCATAACACTGATGCACCAACATGCCAAGAACCATCTGACCAGGTTGTTTTCTCAGGCCAAGGAGCTGTATCCTTCTCCTTCTGCTGCTTCTAGGGTTTAAAGCACAATCATGAGAGAAGAGAAAGCAAAGCCGTCAGAGGAGTCTATGAGGAAAGTTATGTATCTTAATTCTTGGGTTCCCAACTGAGACCCAATTAAATTCAGCTTAAGTCATTGTAATTTGTACCTACTTTGGAAACATCTTATGTCGGCACATTAATCTTTATTATCAATTAATTAAGAAAGGGAGGAGAACTTCGTTACAGAATACAAAGGTCGGAGATTCATCCCCGAAATATAATTTTTGGAAAAACTATTTTTGTTCACGTACCCATCAATTACTCATTGGATGAGTTTAATCTATCTACTATAAAAATTACAAAATTTAAACTTATGTAACAATAATTCAATTAGCGAGCAAAAATGTACTATTAATTTTTTGAATCGTACCTCACCTCGCTTGTGCTAGAAAATGATTATCTCTTACCCCAAGATTATTTTCAGGTTTGTGCAAATTGTAGAGTAGAGCTGTAGAGGGCAGTCTGCTCTTAGCCTCTTACAAATATTGTTACCATAGAACTTATTGGGGATGAAAGATGAAAATTTAGGCAAATAAAGATCCCTGCAGAGCTACCAACATGTAGTAATTAACAACATGATCGACGCCACTGTCTACACAAGTGGGAGAATCTTCTTCAGAAAAAAAAAAATGGTGTCAAAGAAGAAGGGGACTATGAAGCAATCAGAAGAACCACTTGGACTAATAATGTACTTGAGTTGTTGGGGACCCAACTGAGCTGGAAAGATCCTATTCCTGCCCACTCCCATGTTTATGAAATCATTATCAAGCGTTATGTATGTTGTGTGTTTTTGGTCTCATTATATCCTTTTAATTTGTTCAGAATGATGAAATCACATTTTCCTTAGAGTTTGACACATAGAAAAGCAAATAATTAAAGGAAAACTAATGAAAATGGCTTGAAAACTTTAAGTTTTAACGATAAGGACAAAATAAAGGGTAAAGTGAATAGTACTAGGTTTGACTTTTTAATGTAAAAATGTGGTTTTTCATTAAAGTGAATAATACCGCGGGTTTTTTGTTAAAACTCCCAATAATTAATTGAATGTCATCTCTAACAAAAATAAAACAATAAAACTTTGAATTCTAATTAACATAGTCCTATTATTATGTGAAACTAATCATCCGATTATTTGATACTATATACATTAGTTATGTGCCCTTTAAATTTTAATTACCTGTCGTGTTCGCAATTTTTGTATAAACATTAGTGTGTACTATCAAAATATAAACATGCATCGAGTGATTTTGAAGTCGGGGATTAGATTGATGTGTATAACATAATTTAGAGAGACACCCTTCAATATTAAGATTCACTTGTCAATTAATGATCTAAGTAAGGATCGATCATGAAATTAGAGCATGCAATTATGTAGCTGCATCTTATACGGTAGTGCTCCAATCTCCAAGCAATAAGCCTCCTTGGGTTGATCAAGTGAACAGTACAGCGGACTTTTCGTTAAAACTCTCTTATATATATATATGCATTGTAAGAAAAATAAAGGGAACAGAAGTAACTTTACGCAAAAGCTGTTTGAACTTTGTAATTTTCCCAAGTGAAAAATGGCAGGTCCAAAACTATGGTGTATGAAATATGATTTCATTGATTTGGGACGTGGGAAAAAGATGAGATGCCTTTCACAAGAAGGAGGGCCACATCGGAATATCACTGGAGTTGCTGATTGCAGGGTCGTTATCTTTGACGGCACCACTATAGGAGAACATGTTCTAATGCCCTAAACATCATTACCTATTTTAATTATGGTCTCATGCGATTGATCCGGTCTTTTTAAAACAAAAGTAGAATGACAAAAGAATAAAAAGAGAGACGAAAGGAAAAAGAAATCGCAGGAAGATTTGAAAGAAAGTTTGGATTTGGTGCATGTCATATCCGAAGCTATAGTTCTTCCACCACTGATTTGGGTATTCTTCCTATAGCTGTCAATTTTCTGTTTGGAAATTAATACCAAGCTATCGATTATTGTTTGGTAATTAAACTGTACTATGATATTTGACCAAACGATTTCTAAACTGTTCCAATGTTTAGGAAGACAATTGTACTTAGACGTAAGAGGGTATGGACATTAATGAAATTGATTGACCTTGTTCAGATGTGTTGATATTTTCGGATTTTGTAGCTTTAGCGTTCATCACATTACATCTGTAGTCATGTAATAAGAAATATATAATTGGTGGCAACTATGCTCTTATAGACTATAGTCCAATAATTTTAATGCAGATTTTGGCATAGTCACTCAACTAAAATTGGAATTCCCTCTCATTGGTTTAAATCGGACTACGACGTTACTTGAATCAAAAATATAAGTTCAATAGTTTGAATGAAATTGAAATGTATAAGTGCCCATAATATGTTTTTAAACTTGATCCTCAGCTGCCAACTGCCAGCCAACAACAACAGAACAGATTGGAGTGAGTAAAAGTAACCACCGCCAGTTCCGACAATCCAAAAAGTCCAGAACGAAAGGTCGCATTCATCCGCATTCGGCGTTCGCATTCCATAAAGACCTTTCACAAACGCTACGTACCACCAAAGTCTCAATCTTTCAACTTTCGCCTTCAATCCGCGCAAAACGAAATCTCTCTTTTGACTGTTTTACCACCATCTCCGGCGAAACCCGTTTGCCTGCGGCACCGCGAAGTGATTTCCGGCGAGTAGGGTCGACAATGGCTGTGGAGGCTGAGAAATCTGGGCCTGACGGGAAGCTTTGGAGTCTGTTCAAAATACCGTTTTGGCAGTCCGGAAACGCCTCTTCGTCTTCCTCTTCGTCATCGTCCTCGTCCTTGTCTTCTATGCATCATAATGTTCACCACCAGCTGGGTCACGAGTCTGCGGCTGAGCGTACGGCTCTTCATTCTGCCAGTACGGTGTCGTATGTGACGAAGTCTTTGCTTCCTGCTCGGAGAAGGCTGCGTCTTGATCCTCCAAATAAGCTATTTTTTCCATGTTTGCCCCTTTTACTTGTCTATATAGTTATCTTTGTTCTTATGTAATAATTCTGATCTAGGTTTTTGTTTTTTTTAGATTGTGTAATTGGTTGCATGCATGATATGTCTGTTTGTGAGCTTAGATTGGTGCTTTGCTAATATAAATGCTTACAAAAAGCCACATTCTTTGTTCTTTGATTTGCTTAAGTTTCATGATTTGTTGATTTCATGAGTTAGACTATAAATGACTTGGGACCGTTTGGGATTTGCTTATATGAGAAATACTTGTGCTTATAAGCACTTTTCTAGAAGTGATTTTGTTTTAAACTCGTAGAACAACTTCGAAGTTTTTTGCCAAAAGTAGTCAGAAATGTTTTAATTGTCACAAAACACTTTTAACCCTTCAAAAATCAGTTCCAAACAAGCCTTACAGTAATTCCAAATGTTTATTGCTGATATGGTCAATTCTTATTGGGGTCTCTATCTATGTCTCATATGCTCTCTTCTTTGGCTTGTTTCTGTTGCATGATGTATCCATCTGTGTGGTTGGGAGTGGATGCATTTAATCTGATCTGGCCTCTTCTCACATTATTAGCTTCACCTAGGATTTCTTGTAAGATTTTCACTCAGAAATATTTGCTATCATTATAAAAGTGTAATGTTGGCTGAGTTCCTTTGCTGGTATATGAATCAAGCTAGATATATTTGGCCTCACAATGTATTTGTTTCGTCCGAAGATGAACCTGGTAAACAGGTCAGGAGTGCAATTGGAATAAAGAACACAAGCAAAACTATTGTAGCTTTCAAGGTATGGATTGAATCCTCTAAGTTCCCCTGTTATGTATTTTACATATCTGAAACTAGTCATATCTAATTGGACAAACTGACCTTTTGACCAGTACTATGATCAAATTCGGTTAACATAGTTTTGAAAATTGTATAGCATTGGATGACAGTATACATCTAGAGTTTTCCTACTATAAATTTGATGCGACTATCTAACTGCTTACGTGTTGATTGCTTTAGTTCCAAACAACTGCACCAAAGAGTTGTTACATGCGTCCTCCTGGGGGTATACTTGCTCCTGGTGAAGGTCTTATTGCAACTGGTAATTCTTACTTCATGATCTTCCATTTTCGGGTTATATTTCACTTCCATATATTTACAATGAATAACATACTTGTTAGTCATATTCTAGTAAGTTCATCGTTGAAAATTGTAATTTTAATGACAGTTTTCAAGTTTGTGGAACCTCCTGAGAACGATGAGAAACCAGCTGTAGACCAGAAGAGCAGGGTTAAGTTCAAGATCATGAGCTTAAAAGTGAAAGGAGATATGGACTATGTGCCAGAACTGGTATAGTTGCAGGCATTTCTTATATAACTTTAACCATATTTAATTACATTGGTTTTCCCCTACATACTTTTACATTCCCTCAAAGATAATATCAGTAAAATGTTTGTCTATAACCTTAGGCGCCATATGTTAATAAGTGAAAATTCAGATGTCATGTACTACATTAGCAAACATTTGGCAGAATTCTAATTCAAGCTTCCTTATAATTTGTTTAGGACATATATATTTCTTCTGCAACAGTTTGATCTCGCAATATCTGATTTATACTTGAAATCTATTGTATATTTTTTATGTTATGACAAGATAGAAACTAGTGTGCATCATAATTCACAGACGTTAAACATTAACTGTGACATGTGTTTATGCAGTTTGATGAGCAGAGGGACCAAGTCGTGGTTGAGCACGTTTTGCGTGTTGTTTTTCTTGACCCTGAGCGCCCTACCCCTGTAAGTAGATAGATACATCTCTAGTTTGTCATTTCTTTCACTATATATACATTTTTTGATTGTCTTAGCTTAGCCTGAGTAATAAGCCTTTTCACTTTCAATTTGTTATTTTATTAAGGCAATGGAAAAACTTGAGCGGCAATTGGCCGAGGCTGAGGCTGCCCTTGAATCACGAAAAAAGCCTCCAGAAGAAGCAGGTCCCCGGATTGTAGGGGAAGGACTTGTCATAGATGAATGGGTAAGGCATTCTCAACACATTTTTGTTTCTTTTGGTAGAATGACGGTGTTGAGCGTTATAGAATTCTTCTTTGTCACATTCTTACTTGTGGTATGTGCGGTTTCCTTTGTAGAAAGAGCGCAGGGAAAGATACCTAGCGCAGCAGCAGGTTGAAGGGGTTGATTCAGTGTAGAGTTGTGTCCCCTTTTGTTTAGACCATTTCTTTCTATAGTGTGGAAGTTTCAATTAATATGTGAAATTGAATGATCGGCTTATTCATGTATGGGAGAAATTTGAATCTCCATCTCCAACCTTATAGCCTGTAGATAGTATAAATGAATGTTTTTATTTTGACAGAAGATATACTCTCTGTTCTGATCTGGCTGGCTGTTTTGCCACATTTTTGTTTTGAGACATGCAACACGAACACCTCTCGATACGGCGAATTTACTGTTTCCTTGCTGAATTTGCAAAAATTATATGCAATTATTTGTGCCATCTTGATTCATATCACTAAAAACTTCATAAAAGTGTGGTTTCTAAACACTTATACAAGTAATTATAATTTGCTATTGCCTAAAGTTGACAGCTTGAAAGAGAGCAATACTGAGGCTGCGCTCCATTTCTTAATTGTATGGAACTAGTGGAAAGTAGGAGTGGGCACGGTTCAGTTCGGTGTTGTTTTGAGTGAAATCGAAACTGAAATCGAAACTTTTTGCGGTTCGGTTCGATGCGGTTTTGAAGCCAAAACCGAAATGAAACCAAACTGTTTAGTTCAGTTTGGTGCGGTTTTAAATGGTTCAGTTTTTTTTTTTTTTTTTAAATACATCTGCCATGAGTCCATGACATTGGATCATTTATACATCTGCCACGCAAAAATTTTAAGGCTTTGCAACTTTACATGCATAATCTATGTAGTAGATAACATGTATCAATGATCCAATGTCATGGACTCATGGCAGAAGTATATTATAATTGCCTAGCAAATAGACTTGCATGGTTGCACCCTCAAATCTATGAGGAAGTTGTGCATTATTTCCATTACAATTTTGATTTCTCAATATCACCCGTTGATCACATATCCAATGTAGGACAACGCATTCAAGTGCCCACCCCTACTCATGAGTGATGATATTATGTCGAAGAGAAAGAAAGTGATTATTGCTGATTCTAGTGTGGTTGGATTCATACTAAATGTATGAACTCTAACAAACAACATATTGAAACATGACATCTAATATGGACGTTTAATTAAATGCTTATTAATATTTATGGTGCGGTTTGGTTTCTATTTTGGTGCGGTTTTCAAAAGCCAAAATCGAAACCAAACTGTTTCCTACTTTGCGGTTCGGTTTCAAAATCGATACCGTTTCAAAACTGCAAAACCGAACCGTTCGATGCGGTCCGATTTGTTTCGTGTTTTGATTTTGATTTTCGGTTTTTAAGTGCCCACTCCTGGTGGAAAGTGGATTGAGATCTGAGTTTAATTCTTATTTTCTGGTCCACTAAAAATAAATTAAAATATATGCCAATCTTATCCATCAAAGACCAGTTCTTGGGATCCCTTTTATTTTCACGGTCTTGCTTAACTTATGGCTGCATGCATGTCTATGATCTTTGAGATTCTAGTTTACGATTTTTTTAGCCCGATACAAAGAGAACCAAAACTCAAAGCTTAAACAATAAAGAAACACAAATTAATAAAGGGGTAATGCTACAAATTATGTATAATGTTCAGGAGATTAAAATTTTAAACTAAACGATATGGTTGGTGATTATTGGATTATTACTTAAGTATTGATTAATGTGTTTACTTTTTATTGGTGACACATCATTTAGTTTTCAAATTTAGTAGTGTTAATATGCTTGCTTTATATATATATATATCACCAATAAGAAATAAACAAGTTAATCAGCACTTAACTGATAATTCAATCATCAACAATTACATCATTTAGTTTACAAAATTTGGTTTAAAATTTGGTCTCCCTAGCATTATCCTTTCATTAAAGATCCCTTTATTGTTGGTGAAATCTCTTTTTTTTTCTTTATCGAAATAAATTCGTTAAAAATAGTAAAAAAAAGTTCGAAGTTTCATTAAAACGTTGTAAAAAGTTCTATCTACATGTATTTCTTTGAGAGCAAGTCCACCGGGGCTTGCTTTGCCCAGGACCCACAAAAAACAGACTGGCCCTCAGTCAATTTGCTCCAGCCCACAAAGTTACCTGGCACCCAGCCCATGCTAGGCAACAGACTAGCCCAATTTTGACAGACCCAAGAGCCGGCCTATTTGGCTGGCGCGTGCACGACACTCGCGCCCAGGGCGAGTAGCCGACAAGCTTGCAGAGAGCTGTCAGCCCACTTGTGCTCCGGAGTGATGCGGCATGCTTATAGCCGTTGGATTTCCAACGGCTAGTTTTTCTAGACCGTTGGATTTCCAACGGTAAAAAAAATTTAAATTTGACTTTTAAAATGGACCGTTCGATCATAGATCAACGGTCCACATTAATTAACTAAATTAAAAATTATTACAAAATACAGAAAATTAAAAAAAAAAATTCTATAAATACCTAACCCTCATCTTCCACCTTACACCACATTTCAATATTTTCTACACTTTCTACCAAAGCTTTCATATACTTTTTGTGCCAAAAAGCTTGTGGTTGAAGAATAAAGAGTATTTGATGAGTTTATGTAATTTCATTTTAGTGTGTTTTTTTTATAGTTTCTTTGATGAGTTTATGTAATTTTATTTTAGTGTGTTTTTTTTTCAAAGTTTATTTTATGAGTATGTAATTTTATTTTAGTGTGAATTTTTTTTTTAAGTTTATTTGAAATTTTATCCAAAATTGGTTAAAAATCTTATCCGAAATAAACTAAAAAAAAAAAAAACACACCAAATAAATGAGCTGGGTGCCAGCGCATTTTTTTAGGGGTGGAGATGCCTTGGCCTATTACTGTTCACTCCAGTCTATAACTGTTCACTTGAGTGGATAAATGCGCTAGGTGCTGGCGCAAAGTCCTTAGGTGTGGACTTGCTCTGAAGAATAGGTGTGCAGTAATTTGAGCTAGACAGATGGCAAAGTTATCCTCTAATAAAAAAGATTATATGATGTTGGAATAAGGGGAAGATCTTATCTTGTAAACTAATTGGAAGGTAAGCCAATGACAATGGTTAGGTACCTGCCTCTAATTCTTATAAATTAATCCCCAACTGTGTATTATCGCTTTCACAACCTTATTTAACAATGGAATTCCTGCCTGTAATTACAAATTAAAAAGTAATCACTATGTGATACTATCTAGACTCCTTGAACCCTTTTTGGAAGATCTGTATGTTCAATCTGAAATTTTATTATATATTATTCATATATCTTAAGTGATAGCATGAAACACTGAGAATGAAAAATCAACCATCCTCATTAGTGGATTATACTTAAACCAATAACCTGCATTAGTTCAAAATCTATTAAAAAAATGAATGGATATGTAACACATTTTGGTATCAAATACCAGCAGCACAATTGGGTTTCTTTTTATTTTCTCATTGTTGGCAGAAGTCTAAAAGCGATTATTGTAAAAGCACTTTTGGAGCTGTAGATATAATAGAGATATAATAGAGATACAAAATGGGGACCAATTCTTATTATCTGTACAATTTCCACCGGCTCCCCCACCCTGATATTGACTAGAGCATATTGTAAACACAATTATTATTTTGAAAACTTTCCTGATGGGGGTGGACCTCTTTAGTGAAATGGAAGCCCCACTCTAATTATATGAAGGCGACCCATTTGCACTAATGATAAGACTAGAGCAAGTTGTAATCAGTTTGAAACCCATCCTAAACTCAAACCCTAAGATTATCTAGCACCTAAATTAAGTGAGATTCAAAGACAGAATCGAATACAGAACTTTTGTAATGCTATTTATAACTTGAGCTACAATCCTTTTGTATTTCACGATTTATCCTAGTGTGTGCTAGAAAATGCTAACAATCTTAAGATTCCTCTTCCTCTCACATTCAAAAAGGTCATTTCTCCTAACTTTTGTATCTACAAGTATTTCATACATGTTATACCACGTCAAATAATTAATTAAACTTAATCAGATGAAAGAAATATCTCTTTTAATCAACAGAGGTGAGAACTCGAATTGAAAAGGTGTTTTCAATTGTAATAGAGATTACTACTAAACCAATACCTAATTAGTTATAATATGAAAAACAAAACAGAGAAAAATGAATATACAAACCCCTTCATGCAAGTTTTTCCTTGCATCAACATGATTGATGATACCGTACAACCTTTAACCAAAATTTTCTCAATGTTTGTACTAGTAAACATTAGCACGATGATACCGTACAAGGTACAGCCAAAATTTTCTCAAACATACATGAAATGGAAATTTGAAGAGAAAACAAAGTTCTGTTACAAAACAAAATGAAAATTTAATGTTGTCGGTCGAGTTTCAACAGAAGGAGAAAAAGACGTGACCGTCGGATGACCAACAGACTGAGATCAAACACCATTCGATCACGCTGCATGAAATCTCACCCGTCCAAAAAGCTCAAATCAGTATACTAAAAGTAAAAACATAAAATTATTCATTTTTAGAGCTTCAAACCCGAGGATAACAAAGACGAGAGACCCACGTGATGGCCATGCATGCACCCATGAGTACGAGTATGAGTATGACCGCCCAAAGGCGCCAAAGGGAACAACAGCGCCAACCGCCTCTCACGTGTCCCTCTCCCTCCATAACCCCATCGTTTTCCGATCACGTCGGAAAGACGAAACTGACCCTTGAGAAGAGTTAGCCGATTTTATAAAAACTGGGGGAATAGGACGAGTGGCGAGCCCCATGCTGATAGAGGATGTGAGGGCAGCAGGGGACAATGAAACGTAGTTGGACACCTGTTTGCCTGATTGGATCCATGAACGGATGAACCGATGAGTCATGAGATGAACGGTGAAAGGGAATTGGATCCCATGCGAATTTATTTTGTGGGGATTTCTTTACCATATATCGTGCACTTAGAAATCATTTGATTTTTTTTATTTAAAATTAAACATAAATAATATCTGACGGAAATTGACCATACGATATACGATGAACGGTTATGATATGAAAATTTATAGGATCCCATAAAATGAATCAGAAGAGGATCCGTTTCCCGAGGAAAGTTCGGATAAGCTCGACACCTGTTTGCCTCATTTGCTGGCTGCCTTCTAGCTAGTACAAAAGATTCTCTTTCTCCTCATTTCTTGCAATGTATTTTTCTTCCAAGGGGTTATAATAGTCACCATTG